ATAATTTATCAAACCATTTCTTATTTTTGTTACATACACACGTAATTTCTTAATAGTTTTCATATTTGTTTTAATTACAGTAAAGTGTCAAAAATCCGGATTCGGCTGCCATCACAAATCGAATACCTGAAATTCTGTCTAATGAGTGCAAATTGTAATTACCAGAGCCCCTTCGGCCGCCAATTTAGTCTTTTAATCTTTAAAATTGGCGTTTCCACTTCCCGGGACGAGGACGCAGGGGTTGGATTTGTGGGAAGCGAGTGTTGGGGTTGTTTCATTGTGTCGAATTGCACAGAACGAGGCGCTTGACGTGTAAGTGCGTGAGTGCGAGAATTCGAGTAAAGGTTGAACGGTGTATATCTTTGTGTACAGTGATGTTGTGTCCGTGCGTGTGTGTGTTTGTGCATCTTCGGCATGTCTAAAAACAGAAAAACAGTCAATTACCATACGAGAATAAGGTGTGTTAAAAAATGAAACGAAAGAGTTCTTACCATCGGAAATTATTCACTTGTACGATAAATGGTCACTTGGTCCTCTTCGTGGTAAAGTTGGGGAGGGAGATTCTTCTTCCTCCCAAACGTTCCTACAAAACACAAAGGCAGTGAGAAAGCGAGAAGTTTATTCATTTACCTAAAGACAAGATTATTACCTTTATCAGACAGTCTTTCTTCCCGAACAGTGTTACGAGAATAGCGAAGGACCTGACCTAGCCTAGCCTAACCTAACCTAACAGGAAGCTCAATCCTCATAACAGCTGTTTGGGAAGAAAGGTCGGCCGAATGTCGCGTCCGGTGAATAAACGTGTCACGTCCGGATGGTCACAATCGGGAGTCAAATCCGTTGTCGTCGACCGAGTGTCACGTTCGGGAAACAAGTCCGTGGGTCACGACCGGTTAAGAGAGGTTACGTCCGGGAAAAGGTGTCGAATCCGGTAAGAAAGTCGCATCCGGGTGAAGAAGAGGAAATCGAAGAGGATCACCGCCTGGGCCTAGGCAACCTCAGCCGTCCGCAGCAACAAAACCACGGACAGCACGGTCCCTCGACTTTGGGGGCTCTCTCCTCCGACTCCTCCCCGTTCCCACTTCGGCAAAGCGGTGGCGTCGCCGTCGCGGACGAACGGGCAGAACGCGACCAAACAGAAAGTGTCAGCTCGGACGAGCTGTCACTTTCAACATCCTCCACAGCAAGGTCTGTGGCCGGATGACCCCCGAAGACCTCGGCCAAGCGCACTGGACCCAGGGTGTAGCGTCGCATCGTCCCGACTCCGGGAGGATGCCACGCCACGCGCACTTGGCGAAGGACTTCTTCACCCGCTGCCTGTCGCTCGTCGAGACCCCGCTCCTTTAACGCACGGAACGACAGACTCGTACCGCGTCGTCCGAGGAACTCCCTCCCTCAGGCGCCACAGCCTGCCTCCGCCGGAACCGCCTCCAACAACGCACCAACGTCTTCATTCTGTAAAAAAGAAAATTCGCAATTAGTCCAGTGAAAACAAAAGCTTAAATTAATGCTTAAATTCTTCCGAGTAAAAGCAAAATGCTCACCGCAGCTGCCTTTTTAAACCTAAAAGATTCGAATCCGAAGCGCAAACGATCGACCATCGAATAATGTGCCGAGATGTCTTCTGGGACCGATTCTCCAAGTAATATTAAATAAATTCTTACGTCTAGAGTCAATATGGACTAAGACTTACCTGAAAAATCTTGAATCTTCTTTGCAAAAGTCCGCAAACCGCAAAAAGAGCAACGCAATCCAAGAGCACAACAAAAGCACGTCCGACCGCAACAAGAAACACAATCGAACTGCGATTCGTCATGCGTGACGTATTTCGAACAAACGTTGAAAAATACGTCAACAATGTTCGAATTTCGTAAAAATTTGAATTAAAAAAAATTAATTTTTAAAATATTTTTAATTCATTAATTTATAATTATTTTTTTTTAATTTTGCTTCAATCATTTGATAAATAAATTATCTTCTGCATTTACATGGTGCAGAATGTCCGCCGTGGAGAGGTAAAAGACGATCTTTTTAAATTTTACGTTTTGAGGCTTGACCATCTCCGAAAATCGCTCGAAATTCGTTCGAATAAATAACTTTTTCGTCTATTTTCGGCCATGGCATGAAATAAATCAAATTCTTAGGATTTGGCGCAATATTATTTCGCTTTTCGGAAAGATTCCTCGGTCGCCGTCGAATTGCGGGTTTCGCGTATTAATGCAACATTTATTTCCAAATTTTGTCATTGTAGACTCATAAAATTCCACTGTCGTTCGTCCGCATGTCTTAACCTCGAGAACGGAGTTATATGAAATCCGAGACCAGATGTGGAAACTTTAGGGACAAGAGGCCCCAATTAACTATATATGATCTTCCGATTCAAACCGAAAGTCACGTTTTTTTCAATTCAAAACGTAAGTTAACAGATGACCGGCACGACTCTATTGTTAACGGAAAAGTGTGATGTACACTACTAACTTGAGGTATTTTGAATTAAATGATTTTAAAATATGATTAAGAATTTGCAGCCCGGCATTGTGACCGTGTCACAATAAACAATTGCTCGTAGTTATCGTTTGTTTGTGAAAGCTTTGGTTTCCACTTGTAAAAATATTTACAATAAAAACTACATTTTGATATTTGTCGTGTTATGAACCAGAATATCGAAGTTAAAATCCCTCTGAGAAGTAATAAGGAGTTAATAATTGTGAGAAAAGACATTTTTCCATCAAAAATAAACAAGGAAAATATGCCAGTAAGTGCAAGAGACTAATATGTAGATGTGTACAAATTCTGCACTTTATCCATCATTTTGGATAACAAAAGTATATTAAGACGAACTGACGTTTCGTTCGTTATGTTGGAGACACTAAAGCCGTGAGCGCAAATAGAAACCAATCCGAAATGCATTCTTAAATAGGCGAAATAAACAGTACTGTTTTAAACACAGTATATATTTCAATATTCAGTTTATTAGCAATATTTACATAAAATTATACAAAATTTTATTACAGTTACGGATTTAATGCAAGCAGGACAACTTACTCGCCGGTATCTCCACCTTTCTTGCCAAATACCTTGTTTCTGCATTTTGCAAAAAAAGTTCAGTCTGTCCTGACATTTTCACATCCAACTTGCTAGAAATTCACCAATTCTAAATTCGCGTGCCTCTTCGTAAAAACCGAAAATTTCCGGCTCGTCTCTTTAAAAACAGAAAATCTGAAGCCGAATCGACATTCGTGTGTTACAAAAAACTCAAAAAATAAATCTGAAATAACTAAAAACGATACAAAAACCCACTTAAAAATACACACGCTAACGCGACTCTCATTAATTTAGCTTACTTGATGACCGGATCGCCGCCCTATAGGAAGCAGTTGTCCATAGAACGAACACGAAGGGTGAGAACAATAGCAGCTGCCCAACTAGTTTATCTAGTAACAATGCTATTATATGTCATATCTAGAGAGAGACAGGACTTAATAAAGATTCTACTCGTTGTTAACGTTTTCAATTTTCTAATTATCAATTAGAGATTCAGACTATGTACAAAAAAATTAATTAATTAATTAATTAATAGAAGAAAAATATCCTGAGTTCATCATGAAATTGTTTTCAATTTTGTTTTATAAAACTCACCACTATTTTTAAAATTAAGTGCTTTGTCGTTTTATAATAATAATACTATAATTTTTTTTTATAATAAAGTCTCGCAACAGAGAGCGCCAGAAAATCTTATTCATTACAATTAAAACAAAAGTTAATTTTTTAAAAAATTCTCATAATAGCCGAAAAATTACGACTCGTTGCTAGATTTTATATGTATTTATTTATTTTTGCAATATATAAAATTTTGACTGACTATGAGATAAGCTTTTAATTTTTGTATCATTGTAGAATATTGTCAAAAATGAAAATTTTCAGTTCTACCGCCAGATTTAAAATGAAAAAGTCTCTTATGATGTATGAATGTTTTTAGCTGAAATCCTACTGAAGTCAGTACTTTACCTTAACCATTCTTTCTTTCTTTCTTTCTTCTCTAATATGGAGATTTTGGCTGGTCACCTTTTCTCCGATGAACTCTTGTCCGCAATTAGTCAAATCGATGTGTGCGTGCTACGTAACGTTCGAGGGCCTGCACGTGCTGTCTAGGTGAGAGGTCTGTTCTTGCCCAATATATGGGTGTTAATTAAAGTCTGGATGATTGCGAGATCGATCTTCAGAGTACGGCCAAGTTCTTGTCGGGCTTCCGTATATCTTGGACACGTCAGCCAAAAATGTCTGGATGTCTCCTGAGCACCACAATGTGGACAGTCTGGTGAAGCACGTAGGTTTCTAGAACAGAGGAACCTGTTAAGAGGGGCAGTGTCAGTTCTTAGGCGGGCCAAAAGGGTCTCCGCATTCCGAGAAGTAGCATGCCTGTAAGGCCAGGGGGCGAAGGGTCTGAGGTGGTCTCGACCTTTATTACGCAAGTGTTCTGACCATAAATCTGTGATCTCTATTTTTTGTTGTTCTCTATACTCCCGGATTAAGTCACGGGCCATAAGTGACCCACGCCAAGAGCCAGAAGGGGTATCTGTTCTTGCGGCTCTGTCCGCCGCCTCGTTGTTATAAATTCCCACGTGGCCAGGGGTCCACCCGATTTCTATGGGTTTGGACCTTAACCATTCAGAAGAAGAAGAAGAGTAAGAACTTCCAATTTTCAGTTGTAGATTTTCTTAATCAATTAACAATAAGTGTTCTCTAGTGACACGAAAGGTTTTACTATCAATTACTTGACTTTTGAAGTTACGTCTTATAAACCATGATTAAATGTTAGGTATTTAATAATGTTTGAAAATTTAATCATGTTTGAAATCTGGCAACGTTATTCGCAATGGAAACATTTAAATGAAAGACATTTTTTAAAAATCAAATATTAACAAAATAATAACATGGAATTTTTATTGTATATAAAAGCTATAATTATATAATTTTAAAAAATAAAAGTTTAAATTTAGTAAAGAAGAAATTCTATTGTTTTAAAATATCACGTATTTTCGACTGACAAATTACTTGGCAACACTTAATAAGAATACAATAGCTGACTCCATCTTGAAAGTAAAGCGTTGTCAAGCTCAGGAGAAAAATGGTAGGCGAATATTTAAATAATAAAATCAAGCTTAATCGATTCTTATATGTAAAACGACGCAGTATAAACTCGAAATATATTCGCATGAATTACTTATTAATGAATTTAATATATTATTTTTTAGTATATCCGTGTTTAATTTCTTTTTAAAGCATTTGCGGTAAGAATGTAATAATGGCAGATTGAAACAGATTTTATATTAAAAGGAAGTATTTAAATTATACTTAATGTGTACAATATGTAAAGGTTTTGGTAAAGTTGAACATTGACTTTGTTTCATAATGCTTTTGTTAATTATGTTTTAAGCATTTAAGTTTAAAAAATGTCTTTTTGGATGAAAACCATAAAATATCCTTCAGGGTTATCTATCAATAGAAAGAACAGGACTGATATTCATCTTGTTGATTAAAATTGGATCCAATTTATAAAAATCAAATAAAGTGATGTTTTTCTAATAAATCTTGTATTGAAGCAAAATTACCAATGAAATTATTTTGAAAATGTTAAAACTACAGTTGATTATCAGTTTTACAGATTCTGATACAATGGAATTTGGAAACAGTAGATTAAATCCATGTATTCTAAGACAACTGTTGGAATGAAAATGCAATATTTAACAATATTAGATTAAACTATTAGTGTATGAATGTCTAGATGCTGACCTATTGTATAGCATTGTTTATGTTGCTGCTATAGACTGATAATTTCTTTGTATTTGCCAGAATATGTGCTAATTATGATTATTTTGCAGTTAATTGTTTTAAACAATTTAAATATTTTTTTTAAGTGTAGGATAAAACTACTTGATATAAGTTAACAAACATTCATTTAAAAATGAATGTTTGTTAACTGTTATAGCAAGTAGTTTTTGATCTTATTTATCAAATGAAAGATGTTACTGTTAAGAATTATCCTCTATTTTATTTTAACTTGTATTCAGTGAAAAATGTATGATTTTCAAACATTTTGCTTTTCTTATAGGCTAAAGTAAAGGCACGTGAATTGAGAGGAAAGAAAAAGGAGGATCTTCTTAAACAATTAGAAGAACTTAAGCAAGAATTGGGAGCATTGAGAGTTGCTAAAGTTACAGGTGGAGCTGCTTCAAAATTGTCAAAAATGTAACAAACTTCAAATAATCTAGTTTAAAATTAAATATTAATTATTTACTAAAATGTATATTTGTTGTTTTAGACGTGTGGTACGTAAATCAATTGCTAGAGTTCTGACTGTAATTCATCAGACACAGAAGGAAAATCTCAGGAAATATTACAAGGGAAAGAAGTACAAACCTAGAGATTTACGACCAAAGAAGACCAGGGCTATGAGAAGAGCTCTCACCAAGCACGAGCAGTCCATAAAAACAAAGAAGGAACTAAGAAAACTTAGAGTGTGGCCAATGCGGAAATATGCAGTAAAGGCCTAATTAATCTATGTAAAAAAAGTAGGATTTGGTATAATAAATATACATACCAATTTGTGTTGTTCATGTTGTAGAATCCAAATTCTTATTTTACTTATACAGGAAGTACATTATAAACATCTTCAAAGTCAGTAAATCACAGCACTATGATATAAAGATACAAATATCCTGTTTTAGTTCACGAACTGGTTATATTTTCTTTGTAAAACATTTTTGACAAAACATTAGATCATCCTTGGACATACAGTTACGGATTTAATGCAAGCAGGACAACTTACTCGCCGGTATCTCCACCTTTCTTGCCAAATACCTTGTTTCTGCATTTTGCAAAAAAAGTTCAGTCTGTCCTGACATTTTCACATCCAACTTGCTAGAAATTCACCAATTCTAAATTCGCGTGCCTCTTCGTAAAAACCGAAAATTTCCGGTTCGTCTCTTTAAAAACAGAAAACCTGAAGCCGAATCGACATTCAAACTTTCAAAAAAATTAAGATACATGAAATACTGTATAGCAGTTAATATCAGAATGAAATTTTTTAATGTTTTTTTTTTTTTTTGGAGAATTAGAGTTATTTGGAAGTTGATACTGAGGATGATCTAATGTATGTACAAAAACATTTTACAAAGAAAAGATTCTGAACTAAAAGTGGATATTTATATGAAAATATGTAAACATTGTTATCTAGTTTGAGTTAAAAATATTTTTTTAACTTAAAACCTAAGAATATCATAGTTTAATTACTAAAAAAGCATCTATCACAAGTACAACTGTAATATATGCAGATTCTGTTTGTTTAAAACTAAAAGTGATCCAGTTAAAGCATACTCCATTTTAACTACATTCACAGCCTGAAAATGCATATATGAGAGAACATTATTATAATTGAAGATAAAATCATGTCTAGTAGTTTTGAATGCTAAAACCAGGATGTATATTAGTCCAAAAATGGATTTTACCTGCATTTATGATTGTATATGTGTATTCCAGTAAAGCAGTTTGAGGTTAATATATTAAAAAACAGCTTATGGTACAACGTACAAAAAATTTTGTGTGAAATAAAGTACTCGTACAATATTGTGAAAGAAATATAAAACTGGTTCAGATAAATTGGATTATACATACCATTTTATTTAAATATTACACAAATAACTAGTCACATTATGTATTAATACTAATCAGTAAAAAATGCAATAGTACTTGTTGGCATACGTGTTCAGGATAAAACTTTGGAGTTGTGAGTGAATAGTCCAGAAAAACTTGCAACTTGAATACTGTATATCAGCCTTTTGGAAGCAAGTGAATTTCAACATATCCTACTACTAGCGTATTTCATGAATTATAGGATATGACAAAATGACTACATTATCCGGGTTACTCGATTATATTGAACATAACAAATTTTGATTTACTATCTAATATAATCGAATCGTAACTTTATCGAGAAGATTAATGAGAGACTGCTAGCAGGACGATGTTCAACGTGGAATTGTCGAAAGATGAATGAAATTCAAAAGTAAAACCTTTGTTGGTTTTTAATTCTATCGTGTTATACTTTGAATAGGTTATAAAAAATATAGTGTATATTGTATCCAGGACGCATAATGTAAAACGATAGAATATTTGGAGCATATATTTTGTAAATTGGGACGAATATTTTTATCACCGTCGAGTCTGTCTCAGTATCAGTATCGCCACACTTTCGTACGAATTCTTCCCCCCCTCGTGTTCTGACTTGAGTTTACAATTCGGCACCCATATTTTGTCAATTCCTTAAATTGTTTGACTTTGTTATGGCTTCTCAGTCCCCTAGTTTCAGCTGTGCCATTTAATTTATCCACGAAGTGCGTAATTCGCTATCTTTGATACATCTAATAAGAGCATCCAATTAAAAATTACTCATTTACAGATTATAATGCATAAGTTAAAGAAGTAATTTTCATGGACAATAATGCCCGTGCACTTGTCAATTGCACGGGCATTATTGTCCATGCAATTACAGTGAAGATATTTGTTACATCTGCAAGATCTCGGAACTAAATCCCATAGAACGTGTGGGATGCAATGGAAAGATGAATTGCGTCCAATCAGCTTCCACCAAGAACATTTTAACAGCTTTAAGATGCTGTTCTTTAACCGTTCTGTAATGGATTTTGCTTCACTCAAAGCTGATTAAATTAACAACGTTATAACTAGTGATGTGCCGAATATCCGAGGGAAAAAAAGATCCGTATTCGTATCCGTATCCGTTACTTTTTAGTGGATCTTTAACGGATCTTTTATCTTAATGAATTTCATGACTTATATGAAATTTTAAAGATAGGTAGCAATAAAATACTAATAACTTCAATTCAAATCACTTTTTATTTCTTAAAATCACATATTTGGCACATTCACATTGCAAAAATTTTATCATGCAAAATTCATTGATTATCGTAAAATATTTCCATATTACACTACTAAACTTTTTTGTCGACATTATTTTTATTTTAATTTAACTCAACACTCTCCAAAAATACAAACGTAATCTACGCTATTCCGTGTCACACTAAACTATAAACAAAAACACGCGTAGTGCAAGTCAAAACACGTCGCGTTACTAACGCAAAGCGTCAACTATCGGTCCATAGTCACACGTACCGGCGCCGACTGAGTACGAAAGTTGAGATCCGTATCTGCGGATCTAGACACTAATGATTCGTATCCACGGATATACATGTTTAACGATCCGGCACATCACTAGTTATAACTATCACGAGAATTTCTTAACAGCTTTCATGTGAGCAGGACGCAATCACACACCATATTAATAATTTTCTAGGCGAAAAGATTTACGATAAAGCTTAGTACTTTTTCCTGTTAATTTTAGTTTGACATAATTTAAATGAAACTTTCAGCTTTTCAATTGTTTTGTTGCATGTGGTTGTATGTTAAGTTTCACGTTGTTCGATATAGGCTAAATTAATGGTTATGTACTTAAATTGTTTACTAGGACTTATACCTGTGACTGGTTCTGCAAATTAAGTAAACAATTCAGAAAAAACCAGTTTTTATTTTTCATCTGCCATTAAAGTTCAATCCTAGCTCTAATGTTCTTTTTATGGTACCTGGTATTTCAACATCCATCATATTCAGTATTAATTTTTTCCTCCAATCTTCTTTTTCTTTGAACGCTAGGTATCCTATTTTCTTAACTAATTTGTTATATTTATTTACAAAAACTTACCGGTGCTTCCACTTTTCCCATTTTCTCTTTCTTTTCTTAATAATTTCTTCAGTTTGTACTTTTTATAATTAACATTAGAATTGACAAAAAAATTATTTATTTTTTCCACATGTTTTTGTAAACTTCTGCTGACACTCGCAGGTAAACTTAATGTTGGTAATCTTATGGCCTCAATTTTGCATTTTCTATACAGTAGACCCCTATAAAATGCGTTCGTATAGTTCGGATTCCTATATGACGGCGAAAAAATTGCGACCATATTCGTACAAACACGCTAAAAAAACTCGTATAATTCGGTAAAACGTCATCGCCGACTCGTGTCGCAACAGGATTGGTCGAATCTAGACCAATAGCGGATATTGTACAAACCGTTGAGTTTAAACGAGCAGCGGACCTACTAAAAACCCTTTATTATTTAACGTCCATAAAAATTATATTTATATTAATGATGTCTCCAAAGTTCAGTGAATTTTTCGCAAAAATAATAATTTATCAGGAAGCACGCGAGCGCCATTCGATGACACACTCCACGACGAAAACAAGCTTAAGCAATGGCGTCGTCGAACGGTGCACACTCGGTAAGTAATCCTGCAATTTTTTGTTTATAGCATAGTTTATTCCCAAAAAATTATACGTGTTTTGGAAATGTTGAGTCAAATTAGTCTAGAAACGATTAATTTTATGGAAGAAACCCTTCAAACAGCCGTAGTCCGTAAATTGCATACGTGCCGGGCTGTGATTGGCTCATGTATTTAAGGACTCGTAGAAAATGGATTCATATAAACCGGAACGCATCTATCGTGTTATAGGGGGGTCGACTGTACTATATTTCTATTTTTATTGATAATTTTTTTATTTCCTCTTCTATTTTTCCCCGTCCTCTGCATCATCCAGCCACCAGAATTCCGGCTGTAGATTATTAAAATTATTATGTATCAAATTTTATGCTTTTGTGCCCTTGTATTTTTGTACTTAAATTGCTTACTAGGACTTATTTAAAATCAGTCACCGGTATAATAGGTCCTAGTAGACAATTTAAGTACAAAACTATAAGATAAGGACACAAAAGCACAAAATTTGAAATTAATGGTTATGTTTATTTTTTGGATATGAGTTTATATTGTAGATACATTAAGCGTTTTAGAATACAAATATTTAATAATTTAAAAAGGTTTTATGTGTAATAATTACACTCATCAAGATTCTAATTACTTAAATCTTAAAAGTAAGCGAGACATGTTTATTAAAAATGTTGAGTAGAAAAAATTTTTACATTGAAATGTTATATATAATATCCTGTAGAATTTTTTTAATTGAAGAAAGACCACATAAAACCTTATAAATCACAGTTATTTCCTTTCTTCAGATTTTTTTTATTCCAATGGATTTTTACAGGACTGCATTCTTTATTTACACAGAGTTTTATAAATTTCATATTCCNATATATTTAATACCTTTTATAATACGATTTTTAAAAAATATATTTTTGGCTTCTGAACGTCTACAAGTATTATAGAAAACAAATTCAAAATGCAATTTCTAAAAACCTTTTTTTTTATTGGTTAATTCGAATGAGTACTTTTTAAAAATATAAATTCAGCAAAAGAAATGAAATTTTAAACATATAGGCTAATAGAATTTAATTTAGACAATATAATTTTATATTCTACAAATATTTGAATAGAGATTCTCAGTCTTCAGCATGCGATGATCCTTGAGAAGTGGACGAAGGTTTGTGACGAGAACTTTTTTGATGCGCCCTTAGACCCGCTAATTGCGAATATGCACTTCTGCACATGTGACATTTATACGGTTTCTCTCCTGAAAAAGGTAATTATGTTTCAATAAAAGTTCTTAACTCAAATGTAATTATGTAAAAATTTCATTGAACAATTTATATAAAAGCTAATGATTAAGAATCGAGTCCATGATTAACAAGCTTAGCTCTACTTAAATACGTAAATATAATAAAAAATATCAAAGTTTTAATGGATTTAACAACAAGTTTTTCTTATTTTATGTTACTTTGTTTTTACAAGGCTCAATTACCGAATAATATACAGTATAATGAAAAATGCATTAATTATAAGGTGTTCTTGCCCATTTCACATATATTCTTCCATATTTCTATTCGTTCTATTTTTTTCTTAAGCTTTATACGGATTCTTGTAAAATAATTTAATTTTGAAGATTCAAAATAAACTCTATAGGATATATAATAATTTCTTAAATCTATAAACTTGTTTTTAAACTTAAGAGGGTTAAATATAACCTGTAACTTTATATGATAGCATTCAATCAAAAATGGGTAATGATTCGAAGCTTCGTCTTTGAAGAACCGTTTGGAAATTTACACTTTATACAGCTAATGAATGTGGATTAAAATTATAAAGTACCAGAACCGCAATTTACTTTATAAATTCATAAATAGAAAACAAAACAAAATTTAGAATCTTTGTAATTTGTTATTTCCGTGGTAACACAAGATCACTTAACGGAGTCGCTCTTCTTTTATAGGTTCATTCAAGATATGAAATTGTGTTCATACTTATAAAAAATAACTAAAATTTTATATTAGAAAATTTATTTCGTCACTTTGCGAACTAAAGCTCTTTCAATTACTTCACGTCTTAGCTTTATTTAAAACTACTAGCTTTGATTGCATCTGTCAAGAAAAAAATCTTTCACGACAGTTTAATATTTTGATCTGATTCTAATTTTAAGATATAAAGTATGACTTTCGTGGTTCTTACCCGTATGCAATCGTAAGTGATTTCTAAGCGTTGAAGATTGGCTGAAACTTCTTGAGCAATATTCACATACAAAAGGCCTTTCCATTGTATGTATCCTCATATGAGATCTTAAGTTACTGCGAGAATTGAAACCACGACTACAGACGACGCACTTCAATCTTCCGTTGGACGAGGGTATATTGGAATGTCTGGTGGTTCCTTCTGAAAATAAAATAATAAAATTTGAGCGATTTTAATTCTGAATTCTGTTCACTGCATTGAGTCCAAATTTTCTTAACTGTATTTATTTTCAAAGTCACAAAAATGACTTGAACTGTTGAATTTCAAATTTAAATTAACGTTAGCAATGCATCTTACCAATTTGCTGTCTTTCTTTCCTATCGAATCCTGGATAACTCATCTCAGGTACGCCCATGTATTGATTAATATCACTTCCATACCACACCAATAATTCTTGTCCAGGATGAATTCGCTAAAGATTAACGTAAATAATGATCAAATAAACATTACATATGAAAACTTCATTGATAAGAAGAAATGTTACCGTTGTAGTTCTGTAATAAATAGCTTCACCGACTTGAAACGTCTCCAAATTTTGTTCTTGCTCGTGTCTTGCACACTGAACATGAATCATCCAAGATGGATTTTGAGCATTTACTTCAATTACGCGATGAACGTCGCCGGTTGACATGAATAACTAGGCAAGAAATTCATAGAATTTATTTTTAAAATAACTTAGAATAAGCTTTAAATTCATTAAATAAAAAAAAAGCAATTAATGTAGGCTACATAAATCACTTTTCATTGTTCGTATTATGTAAAAACTAAAGATTTTATTTGTTAGAATTTTAATAAATAAAAATTGCCTTACTTCCCAAGCTAAGTCATTAGTTTCTTTCATCTGTGATAAAGGTTTTATTGAACCAGGATATGGACCCATTTCTGTTCCTTCTTTAATCCAATCTGATGCAAAAACTCCAATTGTGGGTTTAATTCCTGGCAAGCTCGATATTCCAAATTTAACTTGATTTGGTATGATCGATTCGTTATCTATAATTTAAATAAATAAATTTATTAAAGTAAAGGTTGGCAATATCGTGATATTTTGATTTAAAATTACTGTTACGTCAGGATTAAAGTCTATTTTTTACAGATAACTATGTCCAAATACTTTCCTTTTCTCAACATATAATTATGACATTTTAACTGTAAATACTTTAGTTTTAATTAGATCAAGATGTATACATCGACAGTATTGAGTGATACCCTGATATGTATAGTAAAGTACCGTGTTATGAGGTGGTAATATCGTGGCAAAATACAGTTTTTCTTTTTCTTAACTTTGTTTTTACAATTTTATTTGTAATTTACTTGTATATTATTTAAGCATGGATACACCTATAAAAATACAAATATTGGACACATTACCAATTTAATTCAGAGCTTATAATTTTGATCACAATTGGAAATCACTAACTCTCCTTATGTGAAAACACTTCAAAGAGCATCTGCATGCTGCTAGCATCCCTAGTCCTAGTTAGTATAAGATAATATGTACTGGACCAAGACGGAGTAGACTCAGTAGAGATATATTTGTGCATGTTTGAGATCCTTAAAAGTTCGAGGCCCTAGGCAAAAGCTGGGTTGCTTATGCTTAAAAACCGCCTAAAAGGTACTAAATGTCTATGCTTAAAACTGCAATCTTAAGACACTTTTAAGATGATCATATAATGATTTAAGAAAAGAATATCTTCAAACGATAATAAAGAGAATTATATCTCGATAAAGATGATAAAAAAATATATATGTGAGAATCTCTTATTTCTCTAAGAAAAGAAAACGAAATTCTTTATCATCATCCCAAGAATATACTATTTAAGTAATGGCTTCAATATTCTTAAAGATATTTCTATAAAAAACTGAATTATAAAATTTATTAAAGTTAAATAAATATTTAAAAATAAATTATTTTAATATACTGTAAGTTTAATTTATTACATTTAATTAGATTTTATTTCATTTTACAATTTCAAATTTAGTTAATGCCAATAAAAGAATATATTACAAATTAAAATGTTAACTCGAATGTAAATATTTAAATTAAATTTTACATTAAATTTCTTATTATTTTTCATATTTTCTAACTTATTATATTAAAAATTAATACTTAAAAACGCAAAATATTTATCGTTGTTTGAAATTTTATTGGTATTTGTAAATCATCCTAAGCAGAAAAATCTAAACAAAATAGTCTAATATTTTTAATTTAATACATAAAATTATCATTATTATTTATATTAGCTTTAACATAATAAATGAGAATTGTCTTTATAAAATGAAGGCATTTTAATGGATTAAATAATAAATAATGCAAATATAGTGTGTAATAATTAAGAATTTTAAATAACAAATTAAAGAAGGTATTTTCCAAATACGTAAGCTTATTAAATTTAAAAATGTATTAATACGTTTTTTATAATTACTGTATGGCAAATATAAAGGAAGAACAAAATTAGTAAATCATGTTTGCATGTGCAAATGTGAATGGTAAATTAACAATAGTTTACTGATTTTTGTGCCACCTTGAATATATGTATATATAATTATAACGTAGATCTATAAAAAGCATGAAAATATCAAGAAAAAGGAGTTTGCAATTGTTAGGAGATCGCGAACTACTGGTTGAGAATCCATGCAAAATTAGGTTCCTTAATAAACATCAATACCATTGTAAATTATTTTAATAAAATCAATTGTTAGCACTGTTTTATAGGGAATGAAATAACATTAGACATAATTTAAAATTAATAAACATACAAAAATATAAGTAAACATATTTTTAAAGTAATGAGTAAGCTACTTGTTCGTATTTTTCAATTAAGTTCTCGGTCATCCACGTGCGAGCCATCATTACACAAGTAAATGAATTTCAATACTGGCGAATGTACAGATGGGTTTCCTCTTTTAGACCCAAACTGAACCATGGTTCAACAATAGATAGCAGTTTTTTTTTATCCACGCTACATTTCACGCCCTTTGCTTCTAATTATAGTCAACAGGGACCTATACTATGAGTACATTAAGGGAGTAGCATATGGATTGAGATTGATGCCCACTCTTCATTCACAATACTGAAATTGATAAAGTTACTGCCTTTCATTATTTGTATAGTAATCACTTAAATATTATTTTTTCTAATTTATATAATGGAAAAGTAAAGTAAAAAGTTAACAGTTTATTGCAGTATTTATTCATTTTAATTAGTAAAATAATTAAATAAAAACGAATGTTTTATCTTTAAAATAATTTAAAACATTTTAATTATAAATAGATTTTTTATAATCTAGTTTTTAAAGATAAATTAAAAAAAAATAATGTAAATATATTAAAGGCCATCAAAGAGGTAAAATAAGATCCAAGTAAGTCACACATACGAGGCACTCACTTCTATATGAAACCATAAAAAATATATGAATATAATCAATAGAAGAAATAAAATCTAGATTAACTTAATTTATATCACTTTTGTATCATGTATTTTACATAGAAGACTACAGTCTAGAAGACTTATGTCTGGAATCCAAACAAATGAACCTATTGATACTCCTTTAATCTGGGGAATTTTATATAAATAAATAATTTTAAATTTTGAAAATTTTAAAAAATTTTATAGTATCTAAATTATGAATAATAAATACACATTGTAACTGTCACTAAATAATCATTGTTATTGTAAACATTATTATAATTATTTATAATATTAAAATTAATACTATATATATAGGCCTATATTNTATAATTTAAAAATAAATAAATATCTATAAGAATACTTTATTGTAATGATTAAAAATTTGATATTTTTGTAAAATAATTTCAATAATAATCAGGCCTTTCAGAAATCGTGAGAAGCCTGAACCTTGCTTTTTAAAGCCCCTAGTATATTAAAAATTGTATTATATGTTTTAAGTAATAAAAGTTGATGAAAATAAATATTTTACCCCTCTAATATACAATAAATGCAACGGGAGCCTCAAAAACATTTGTTTTTGAGGCTCCCATCAACACGAAGCTCGACAAAATCAGATTTAAACTTGTTGCGGGCCTTGTTTCTTCCCTTCCACCAAATAATAACAATTTTAAAAACACGAGGTCCTAAGCTATAATATGTTAAATTATACGTAATCCGGCCTTAGATCTAGACCAAATAGCTGGACCTTTCTAAGATAGGGGCCTGATAAAAAGAATTTATGCAGAATATCTTTCATCAAAATAAAATATATAACATATCAAATTATCGCTTTAAAAAGGCTATAATTAATTTTTTTTAATCGAAATTCTTTTTAAACAACTTCAATATTTCTCACTTCTGAGTTTGGCTACTTTATCAAAAAGGTATTCATTAGTAGAGTTGTATAGTAAATTATTATGCTGATAACTTACCAGTAGAGTGTGTTAGATCTATATCCATCAGCATAATAATTTAGAGCTTTACAGAGGTATATCAATGCACTTAACTCCATTCACTTTAATTGATTTGTGTTTTAATATTCGAACCTTAACTTTTCAATAGAAGGATTCCAGCTGCGTAGTCTGACGGCTCAATATCTGCTCGATTACGCAGGTGCAGCGTGTATGACAATCACGCCTTCTATTGTCAACATACACTACTGGTGTCGGTTGCTTCTACTAATCTATCATCCCTCGTTCGTTGATACACATAATGGAATGGCAACTATGGGAAATTACACGGCTACTGAGTATTTTGATAGAAAAAATATGAGCAGGGAACTTATTTAGAAGCTTAATTAAATATAAAATTATGTTTCTATAAAATATTCTACATAAAACTTATTTTATTAAAACCCTATAATTATATTCTACTTAAATTTACAACTTTAAATATATTTAAATTCATTACAATACATTTTCTAGATATAAATTTTATATAGGGTAAAGTGTTTTAGAAAGAATAATTGTATATTTAATTACGTTTAAGATTCATTATAAAATTACGAATATATTTCATTTTTACATATAAACTCTATAATTATGACTTATATAAAATTTATAGCTTTAAATAGTGATGAATAAGACCTTTCGGGATCTCTAGGCACAGAAGATTGGGGGCACTTCTATATAATTCTGCATTATAAACTGAAAACGTCTAATTGTAACTATAGAATTATATATAAATTATGTTATACAATTACACTGATAAAATTCTATTATTTATTTATTCTAATTTCGGTTCTCTGACGGGTGAGACTCGGTTCCCTAGGCATATGCCTTGCATGCCTAGTAAGAAATACGGCACTACTTTTAACACTTACTTTAATGAATTTCATTTAAACGTTTTGTCTTAAAACAATAATATATATATATATATAGGGGAGATCGGGGCAAGATCGGCATGTTAAGCTTTACTTAAATTTTGTGTAATAAATACTGCTGTAAACTGAAAAAAAAGCTTTGCATATTGTCTATTGGAATGTTACCTTACTATAGAACTGGTTAAAATCAGTTTGGAAATAAAAATAATTAAAATAATTACAACTTTACAAGAAGAGAGAAATTGACGA